CGCTTTTGCTTGCGCCTCTCTCGCTTTGGTTCTCTGCCTGTCTCGGTGGTCCTTCTCGGCCCTCGCTTGTGCATCGCCCCCTTCGCCCTGCTCGATCGCCCACTTTTCCCTCCCTTGGCCGCCCTTCGCTGCCAAGTCCGGACTTGTCTATAAATAGCCTGACCCCCGCGATGTGTAGTCGAACCTCAGCGTTCAAAATAGGACTAAATAAAGTGCCTTCTACTTTATTCTCTGAGTGTTCCTCACGTCTCATTTCGAGACTAGTCTTATCTTGAACGGATCTTTGCTTCCCTCGCTCCCTCTCCGAGTCCACTTCGGACTTTACCCTTGCCTTCCCTGAGCTCACTTCGAGCTCACTTTCTCTTTTGCCGTTGAGTCCCCTTTGGACTCTAACATCGGGTCACCAAGCGCATCACCCGCTCGATGAGCACCCGGGCTGCCAAGCGCCAGCGTCTCCATGAGCAGCTGGTCTCCTTGGGAATCGAAGAAACCTTTTCTGTCCTCCTGGCCGTCCTCTCGGTCCCCGAGCTGATCGAGATGCTCACTGTCTGCAGTCTCGTGAAGCTCAAGGCAACTTCCAGCGACGTGAGGACGCTGTTCTCGACCAAGACTGTGGGGATTCGTATCTGGGCCGAGTGGTTCGACAAGCAGTACGACACCAGGCTCCTCCCCGAAGACTGTGTCCAAATGGTCAAGTATTTCCCGGCTGGACCGTTCCCTTCGACGTCAAGTGGTTCAAGACCATACCGAGATCCGTGGTTTCAGCCGAGTTCGTCAGAGTCGTCACTCGTTTCCGCCAAGAGAACCCCGAATTTCAGATCTTGCAGCGACTCATCGAGGCTGAGCACATCCCCACTGCGATGTGGTTTGTCAAGCGCATGATCTGGAATGGCGAAATCCTCAGCAAATGCCTTTCCGTCTTGAACAACATATCCGAGACGCTCGACGACTTCCTCCTCGAAGAACGTGACGTCTTCCTCAAAGGACTATCGGTCGAGATCAACCAGGTGTACTTCCAATGGCTCAAGTCGTTGGACGTATCCAACGTGAAGGTCAAGTACGCTCTCTACGAATGCTATCGTTTTGGTAGAGGAACCGATGCCAACCCGACCCGGGGCTTGGATCTCCTGGTCGAATGCGCTCGAGGTGGTTATCACGACAGCGCCCTGCAGATCTACGACATCTGCCGATATGGGTGGATTCGAGATGCACCCCATGCATCGTCCGTCTGGCATCGGTTGTCGGAATCGTCGGGACACAGTCTCCCTGAAAGGGACAGGAACCTCCTGAGTGTCTACTGTATGAAGAACTCGATTGGCTTCCCTCGATGGATGAACTGCAAGGCTACATATCAGTATACAGTAGCTCAAACAATTGTCCCAATGTTTTGGTGATTTGGACTGTGATGTCTGTATCTCTTCCATTTCTGATCCGATCCTCCTCAAACTTTGCCCCAAGAACCCCTTCCCAATGGTGTTGACACCCTATGAATAGTGTCGCACAAATCCCATAAATGGCAATTTGGTGCAAGTTCGAATCCACATCATGCATTGGGACAATATTTTGACCCTGGCCATTTTGTCCCAATGCGACCATTCTTTACCATGTATCTTCTTCCGATTGGGTCCAATCGGCCTGAAACTTTGCCCAATCACTGTAAATGCTACTGGAAATCATCTGTGACCATTGGATTGGACAAAATCCGTCATTAACATCTGACCCACCAATCACCCATATTGGCATAATAATCGAAATGGAACTCCACTCAAACTGTATTTATCCTTCTGCTTTCCACTTGAAACAACCTCGAAACACTATTTAGATCTATTTTAACGTATTACATTGAAGTTTCTCGCAGTTTTTGATCAGCATATTCAATGAGATGCTCATCCCATTCCCCCCTATTCCTCTATGTTTCCAAACGTTAGACATGCAAACATTCTCAGAGTGGGTCAATTTGTTACCATTCTGAATGATCTACTCCTGATCAATGTAGAAGTGCTGATTTCGTTCCAATCGGTCGCGGAACAAGGATGGGAATCGAAGGTATTCTTGCCTTGTTCCCATACTCATAAGGAACAAGAATGTTGGGTCCTACAATCATTCACCAAATGGGAAGTCTATTCGAACAAATGTATTGATGTGAAAGGGCACTGTAAGGGCTTCACATCCATACAAAATGATTTTGTTCATGGACAATTTTTGAAGTACTCATTGAGGCACGCAAAAATTGTATGTCTAAGGATTGATTCAACCTTGGCTTCTAGCCAACTGTGATCCCCAATTACATCAAAAAACCCATGAGATAGATCTTGGAGCTCATTGAGAGGATGGATTTGTATAAGAAAGTGAAGAATCCTGACGATTAAAGTCGTTTTGACGTCATTGAAGCTCGAAACAACGTCGATAATTGAACATCGAAATCGGGTGTTGGGTGTCAAATTCGAAACTGTCCATAGAAACATCAGGGGAATCGTATCAAATCAATTGAAATAGAGATCTTAGTGGATTCAAGGTGGGAAACCGAAGGTTAAAAGCAGTTTGAGTGGAGTTCCATTTCGATTATTATGCCAATATGGGTGATTGGTGGGTCAGATGTTAATGACGGATTTTGTCCAATCCAATGGTCACAGATGATTTCCAGTAGCATTTACAGTGATTGGGCAAAGTTTCAGGCCGATTGGACCCAATCGGAAGAAGATACATGGTAAAGAATGGTCGCATTGGGACAAAATGGCCAGGGTCAAAATATTGTCCCAATGCATGATGTGAATTCGAACTTGCACCAAATTGCCATTTATGGGATTTGTGCGACACTATTCATAGGGTGTCAACACCATTGGGAAGGGGTTCTTGGGGCAAAGTTTGAGGAGGATCGGATCAGAAATGGAAGAGATACAGACATCACAGTCCAAATCACCAAAACATTGGGACATTTTTTGAGCTACTGTAACCTACTCAATGCGTACAGGGATGGCAGCAAGATAGCACGCCAGGAAATCCTGCGCATTTCCCCCAGTGCACCACATCACTGGGATCGTCCAGACCACTGGGTTGATATGATCGCTCTGAACCACATCATCGCAGCCAGAAACGACCCCCAAGTTCAAGTCGTGTTTATCAAGCTACTCAAGCGCTCCATCATGGTCAAGAGCAATGGTGCTGCTATTTGGTCTCGCTATGAGAGGCTCATTCGCGAGGGATGCATGCAGTGAATGCAGTGCACACACCTTCTTCCAATCCTGTTCCGGCCCACTCACGGGCGACGACGTTTCACTTCCGAGTCTCTTCCGACCCACTCACAGGCGACGACGTTTCACTTCCGAGTCTCTTACGAGTTTTCAGCCCTACACCATGTTTATCGAGTGAGCCTCACTTCCGAGTCTCTTCCGACCCACTCCACTCCACGAATGGGTGGGTGGGCCCCGAATACTTCCCGACCATGAATATCTTTTTTTTTCTTGAAAATTTTGTTTTTTCTTCTCCAATGCCCCAACCGGCCCCAAAAGTGCTTCTCACTCCATATTCACTTCCAAATCACTTCCGAGTGAGTTCCGCGGTGGTGTTCTCTCCATGTTTTCAGTGTTAGATGATAATATTATCACACTCCAATAAAAATTTCACTTCCGAGTCTCTTCCGACCACTCGATGGCTCACTTCCGAGTCTCTTCCGAGTCATTTGGATATCTCCAGACACCACGGCGATGGAGATTATGGTTCGGGTGTGTGGGTGGTCGGTGTGCATGGAGCGGGTTAACCCCCGTCGCCACCAGCTCCACCAGCGACGGCGGAGAACTGGGCTGGGCTTGGACACCCTGTCTGACAGGCACATTCGTCTCCCACAGACTCCGCAGGTACATGGGTATATGAGGAGCCCGAGAGATCGCTGCTGGAGCACCCCATCCATCCGCCTATCCCTCTGTCGCCGCCATGTCCTCTCGGGTGTTGGGGATAGCTCCTGCCTGCTCCCCACTTTGACTGCCCACTTGGCTGTTCTTTTGCCCCTCTGTTTGTTTGTGTGTAGCTTTGCAGTTCCCCTCCGATTTTCCGCCTTTTGCCTGCCATTTCCGCCCATTCCGCACTTCCGTTTTCCCGCGCTGCTCCGCTTCCTTTGTCTTCTTCGCACGCGCCGGTTTGTTTGTGCACGCGCCTTGCTGCGATTGGTTGCAATTCGGCTGCCGGTCATGTGTCCCCCCACCGGTGACTCATGACCTCCCTGACCGCCCCAAACCTTCGCCTATCTTGCATGCGCTCACCCCAATCTTTTCTTTGACCAATCCGCTTCTTGGATGTTGAGTCACATTGCTTCGCCTTTGCACGTTTCTCCTGCCAGGTGCTTCGCTTTTGCTTGCGCCTCTCTCGCTTTGGTTCTCTGCCTGTCTCGGTGGTCCTTCTCGGCCCTCGCTTGTGCATCGCCCCCTTCGCCCTGCTCGATCGCCCACTTTTCCCTCCCTTGGCCGCCCTTCGCTGCCAAGTCCGGACTTGTCTATAAATAGCCTGACCCCCGCGATGTGTAGTCGAACCTCAGCGTTCAAAATAGGACTAAATAAAGTGCCTTCTACTTTATTCTCTGAGTGTTCCTCACGTCTCATTTCGAGACTAGTCTTATCTTGAACGGATCTTTGCTTCCCTCGCTCCCTCTCCGAGTCCACTTCGGACTTTACCCTTGCCTTCCCTGAGCTCACTTCGAGCTCACTTTCTCTTTTGCCGTTGAGTCCCCTTTGGACTCTAACATCGGGTCACCAAGCGCATCACCCGCTCGATGAGCACCCGGGCTGCCAAGCGCCAGCGTCTCCATGAGCAGCTGGTCTCCTTGGGAATCGAAGAAACCTTTTCTGTCCTCCTGGCCGTCCTCTCGGTCCCCGAGCTGATCGAGATGCTCACTGTCTGCAGTCTCGTGAAGCTCAAGGCAACTTCCAGCGACGTGAGGACGCTGTTCTCGACCAAGACTGTGGGGATTCGTATCTGGGCCGAGTGGTTCGACAAGCAGTACGACACCAGGCTCCTCCCCGAAGACTGTGTCCAAATGGTCAAGTATTTCCCGGCTGGACCGTTCCCTTCGACGTCAAGTGGTTCAAGACCATACCGAGATCCGTGGTTTCAGCCGAGTTCGTCAGAGTCGTCACTCGTTTCCGCCAAGAGAACCCCGAATTTCAGATCTTGCAGCGACTCATCGAGGCTGAGCACATCCCCACTGCGATGTGGTTTGTCAAGCGCATGATCTGGAATGGCGAAATCCTCAGCAAATGCCTTTCCGTCTTGAACAACATATCCGAGACGCTCGACGACTTCCTCCTCGAAGAACGTGACGTCTTCCTCAAAGGACTATCGGTCGAGATCAACCAGGTGTACTTCCAATGGCTCAAGTCGTTGGACGTATCCAACGTGAAGGTCAAGTACGCTCTCTACGAATGCTATCGTTTTGGTAGAGGAACCGATGCCAACCCGACCCGGGGCTTGGATCTCCTGGTCGAATGCGCTCGAGGTGGTTATCACGACAGCGCCCTGCAGATCTACGACATCTGCCGATATGGGTGGATTCGAGATGCACCCCATGCATCGTCCGTCTGGCATCGGTTGTCGGAATCGTCGGGACACAGTCTCCCTGAAAGGGACAGGAACCTCCTGAGTGTCTACTGTATGAAGAACTCGATTGGCTTCCCTCGATGGATGAACTGCAAGGCTACATATCAGTATACAGTAGCTCAAACAATTGTCCCAATGTTTTGGTGATTTGGACTGTGATGTCTGTATCTCTTCCATTTCTGATCCGATCCTCCTCAAACTTTGCCCCAAGAACCCCTTCCCAATGGTGTTGACACCCTATGAATAGTGTCGCACAAATCCCATAAATGGCAATTTGGTGCAAGTTCGAATCCACATCATGCATTGGGACAATATTTTGACCCTGGCCATTTTGTCCCAATGCGACCATTCTTTACCATGTATCTTCTTCCGATTGGGTCCAATCGGCCTGAAACTTTGCCCAATCACTGTAAATGCTACTGGAAATCATCTGTGACCATTGGATTGGACAAAATCCGTCATTAACATCTGACCCACCAATCACCCATATTGGCATAATAATCGAAATGGAACTCCACTCAAACTGTATTTATCCTTCTGCTTTCCACTTGAAACAACCTCGAAACACTATTTAGATCTATTTTAACGTATTACATTGAAGTTTCTCGCAGTTTTTGATCAGCATATTCAATGAGATGCTCATCCCATTCCCCCCTATTCCTCTATGTTTCCAAACGTTAGACATGCAAACATTCTCAGAGTGGGTCAATTTGTTACCATTCTGAATGATCTACTCCTGATCAATGTAGAAGTGCTGATTTCGTTCCAATCGGTCGCGGAACAAGGATGGGAATCGAAGGTATTCTTGCCTTGTTCCCATACTCATAAGGAACAAGAATGTTGGGTCCTACAATCATTCACCAAATGGGAAGTCTATTCGAACAAATGTATTGATGTGAAAGGGCACTGTAAGGGCTTCACATCCATACAAAATGATTTTGTTCATGGACAATTTTTGAAGTACTCATTGAGGCACGCAAAAATTGTATGTCTAAGGATTGATTCAACCTTGGCTTCTAGCCAACTGTGATCCCCAATTACATCAAAAAACCCATGAGATAGATCTTGGAGCTCATTGAGAGGATGGATTTGTATAAGAAAGTGAAGAATCCTGACGATTAAAGTCGTTTTGACGTCATTGAAGCTCGAAACAACGTCGATAATTGAACATCGAAATCGGGTGTTGGGTGTCAAATTCGAAACTGTCCATAGAAACATCAGGGGAATCGTATCAAATCAATTGAAATAGAGATCTTAGTGGATTCAAGGTGGGAAACCGAAGGTTAAAAGCAGTTTGAGTGGAGTTCCATTTCGATTATTATGCCAATATGGGTGATTGGTGGGTCAGATGTTAATGACGGATTTTGTCCAATCCAATGGTCACAGATGATTTCCAGTAGCATTTACAGTGATTGGGCAAAGTTTCAGGCCGATTGGACCCAATCGGAAGAAGATACATGGTAAAGAATGGTCGCATTGGGACAAAATGGCCAGGGTCAAAATATTGTCCCAATGCATGATGTGAATTCGAACTTGCACCAAATTGCCATTTATGGGATTTGTGCGACACTATTCATAGGGTGTCAACACCATTGGGAAGGGGTTCTTGGGGCAAAGTTTGAGGAGGATCGGATCAGAAATGGAAGAGATACAGACATCACAGTCCAAATCACCAAAACATTGGGACATTTTTTGAGCTACTGTAACCTACTCAATGCGTACAGGGATGGCAGCAAGATAGCACGCCAGGAAATCCTGCGCATTTCCCCCAGTGCACCACATCACTGGGATCGTCCAGACCACTGGGTTGATATGATCGCTCTGAACCACATCATCGCAGCCAGAAACGACCCCCAAGTTCAAGTCGTGTTTATCAAGCTACTCAAGCGCTCCATCATGGTCAAGAGCAATGGTGCTGCTATTTGGTCTCGCTATGAGAGGCTCATTCGCGAGGGATGCATGCAGTGAATGCAGTGCACACACCTTCTTCCAATCCTGTTCCGGCCCACTCACGGGCGACGACGTTTCACTTCCGAGTCTCTTCCGACCCACTCACAGGCGACGACGTTTCACTTCCGAGTCTCTTACGAGTTTTCAGCCCTACACCATGTTTATCGAGTGAGCCTCACTTCCGAGTCTCTTCCGACCCACTCCACTCCACGAATGGGTGGGTGGGCCCCGAATACTTCCCGACCATGAATATCTTTTTTTTTCTTGAAAATTTTGTTTTTTCTTCTCCAATGCCCCAACCGGCCCCAAAAGTGCTTCTCACTCCATATTCACTTCCAAATCACTTCCGAGTGAGTTCCGCGGTGGTGTTCTCTCCATGTTTTCAGTGTTAGATGATAATATTATCACACTCCAATAAAAATTTCACTTCCGAGTCTCTTCCGACCACTCGATGGCTCACTTCCGAGTCTCTTCCGAGTCATTTGGATATCTCCAGACACCACGGCGATGGAGATTATGGTTCGGGTGTGTGGGTGGTCGGTGTGCATGGAGCGGGTTAACCCCCGTCGCCACCAGCTCCACCAGCGACGGCGGAGAACTGGGCTGGGCTTGGACACCCTGTCTGACAGGCACATTCGTCTCCCACAGACTCCGCAGGTACATGGGTATATGAGGAGCCCGAGAGATCGCTGCTGGAGCACCCCATCCATCCGCCTATCCCTCTGTCGCCGCCATGTCCTCTCGGGTGTTGGGGATAGCTCCTGCCTGCTCCCCACTTTGACTGCCCACTTGGCTGTTCTTTTGCCCCTCTGTTTGTTTGTGTGTAGCTTTGCAGTTCCCCTCCGATTTTCCGCCTTTTGCCTGCCATTTCCGCCCATTCCGCACTTCCGTTTTCCCGCGCTGCTCCGCTTCCTTTGTCTTCTTCGCACGCGCCGGTTTGTTTGTGCACGCGCCTTGCTGCGATTGGTTGCAATTCGGCTGCCGGTCATGTGTCCCCCCACCGGTGACTCATGACCTCCCTGACCGCCCCAAACCTTCGCCTATCTTGCATGCGCTCACCCCAATCTTTTCTTTGACCAATCCGCTTCTTGGATGTTGAGTCACATTGCTTCGCCTTTGCACGTTTCTCCTGCCAGGTGCTTCGCTTTTGCTTGCGCCTCTCTCGCTTTGGTTCTCTGCCTGTCTCGGTGGTCCTTCTCGGCCCTCGCTTGTGCATCGCCCCCTTCGCCCTGCTCGATCGCCCACTTTTCCCTCCCTTGGCCGCCCTTCGCTGCCAAGTCCGGACTTGTCTATAAATAGCCTGACCCCCGCGATGTGTAGTCGAACCTCAGCGTTCAAAATAGGACTAAATAAAGTGCCTTCTACTTTATTCTCTGAGTGTTCCTCACGTCTCATTTCGAGACTAGTCTTATCTTGAACGGATCTTTGCTTCCCTCGCTCCCTCTCCGAGTCCACTTCGGACTTTACCCTTGCCTTCCCTGAGCTCACTTCGAGCTCACTTTCTCTTTTGCCGTTGAGTCCCCTTTGGACTCTAACATCGGGTCACCAAGCGCATCACCCGCTCGATGAGCACCCGGGCTGCCAAGCGCCAGCGTCTCCATGAGCAGCTGGTCTCCTTGGGAATCGAAGAAACCTTTTCTGTCCTCCTGGCCGTCCTCTCGGTCCCCGAGCTGATCGAGATGCTCACTGTCTGCAGTCTCGTGAAGCTCAAGGCAACTTCCAGCGACGTGAGGACGCTGTTCTCGACCAAGACTGTGGGGATTCGTATCTGGGCCGAGTGGTTCGACAAGCAGTACGACACCAGGCTCCTCCCCGAAGACTGTGTCCAAATGGTCAAGTATTTCCCGGCTGGACCGTTCCCTTCGACGTCAAGTGGTTCAAGACCATACCGAGATCCGTGGTTTCAGCCGAGTTCGTCAGAGTCGTCACTCGTTTCCGCCAAGAGAACCCCGAATTTCAGATCTTGCAGCGACTCATCGAGGCTGAGCACATCCCCACTGCGATGTGGTTTGTCAAGCGCATGATCTGGAATGGCGAAATCCTCAGCAAATGCCTTTCCGTCTTGAACAACATATCCGAGACGCTCGACGACTTCCTCCTCGAAGAACGTGACGTCTTCCTCAAAGGACTATCGGTCGAGATCAACCAGGTGTACTTCCAATGGCTCAAGTCGTTGGACGTATCCAACGTGAAGGTCAAGTACGCTCTCTACGAATGCTATCGTTTTGGTAGAGGAACCGATGCCAACCCGACCCGGGGCTTGGATCTCCTGGTCGAATGCGCTCGAGGTGGTTATCACGACAGCGCCCTGCAGATCTACGACATCTGCCGATATGGGTGGATTCGAGATGCACCCCATGCATCGTCCGTCTGGCATCGGTTGTCGGAATCGTCGGGACACAGTCTCCCTGAAAGGGACAGGAACCTCCTGAGTGTCTACTGTATGAAGAACTCGATTGGCTTCCCTCGATGGATGAACTGCAAGGCTACATATCAGTATACAGTAGCTCAAACAATTGTCCCAATGTTTTGGTGATTTGGACTGTGATGTCTGTATCTCTTCCATTTCTGATCCGATCCTCCTCAAACTTTGCCCCAAGAACCCCTTCCCAATGGTGTTGACACCCTATGAATAGTGTCGCACAAATCCCATAAATGGCAATTTGGTGCAAGTTCGAATCCACATCATGCATTGGGACAATATTTTGACCCTGGCCATTTTGTCCCAATGCGACCATTCTTTACCATGTATCTTCTTCCGATTGGGTCCAATCGGCCTGAAACTTTGCCCAATCACTGTAAATGCTACTGGAAATCATCTGTGACCATTGGATTGGACAAAATCCGTCATTAACATCTGACCCACCAATCACCCATATTGGCATAATAATCGAAATGGAACTCCACTCAAACTGTATTTATCCTTCTGCTTTCCACTTGAAACAACCTCGAAACACTATTTAGATCTATTTTAACGTATTACATTGAAGTTTCTCGCAGTTTTTGATCAGCATATTCAATGAGATGCTCATCCCATTCCCCCCTATTCCTCTATGTTTCCAAACGTTAGACATGCAAACATTCTCAGAGTGGGTCAATTTGTTACCATTCTGAATGATCTACTCCTGATCAATGTAGAAGTGCTGATTTCGTTCCAATCGGTCGCGGAACAAGGATGGGAATCGAAGGTATTCTTGCCTTGTTCCCATACTCATAAGGAACAAGAATGTTGGGTCCTACAATCATTCACCAAATGGGAAGTCTATTCGAACAAATGTATTGATGTGAAAGGGCACTGTAAGGGCTTCACATCCATACAAAATGATTTTGTTCATGGACAATTTTTGAAGTACTCATTGAGGCACGCAAAAATTGTATGTCTAAGGATTGATTCAACCTTGGCTTCTAGCCAACTGTGATCCCCAATTACATCAAAAAACCCATGAGATAGATCTTGGAGCTCATTGAGAGGATGGATTTGTATAAGAAAGTGAAGAATCCTGACGATTAAAGTCGTTTTGACGTCATTGAAGCTCGAAACAACGTCGATAATTGAACATCGAAATCGGGTGTTGGGTGTCAAATTCGAAACTGTCCATAGAAACATCAGGGGAATCGTATCAAATCAATTGAAATAGAGATCTTAGTGGATTCAAGGTGGGAAACCGAAGGTTAAAAGCAGTTTGAGTGGAGTTCCATTTCGATTATTATGCCAATATGGGTGATTGGTGGGTCAGATGTTAATGACGGATTTTGTCCAATCCAATGGTCACAGATGATTTCCAGTAGCATTTACAGTGATTGGGCAAAGTTTCAGGCCGATTGGACCCAATCGGAAGAAGATACATGGTAAAGAATGGTCGCATTGGGACAAAATGGCCAGGGTCAAAATATTGTCCCAATGCATGATGTGAATTCGAACTTGCACCAAATTGCCATTTATGGGATTTGTGCGACACTATTCATAGGGTGTCAACACCATTGGGAAGGGGTTCTTGGGGCAAAGTTTGAGGAGGATCGGATCAGAAATGGAAGAGATACAGACATCACAGTCCAAATCACCAAAACATTGGGACATTTTTTGAGCTACTGTAACCTACTCAATGCGTACAGGGATGGCAGCAAGATAGCACGCCAGGAAATCCTGCGCATTTCCCCCAGTGCACCACATCACTGGGATCGTCCAGACCACTGGGTTGATATGATCGCTCTGAACCACATCATCGCAGCCAGAAACGACCCCCAAGTTCAAGTCGTGTTTATCAAGCTACTCAAGCGCTCCATCATGGTCAAGAGCAATGGTGCTGCTATTTGGTCTCGCTATGAGAGGCTCATTCGCGAGGGATGCATGCAGTGAATGCAGTGCACACACCTTCTTCCAATCCTGTTCCGGCCCACTCACGGGCGACGACGTTTCACTTCCGAGTCTCTTCCGACCCACTCACAGGCGACGACGTTTCACTTCCGAGTCTCTTACGAGTTTTCAGCCCTACACCATGTTTATCGAGTGAGCCTCACTTCCGAGTCTCTTCCGACCCACTCCACTCCACGAATGGGTGGGTGGGCCCCGAATACTTCCCGACCATGAATATCTTTTTTTTTCTTGAAAATTTTGTTTTTTCTTCTCCAATGCCCCAACCGGCCCCAAAAGTGCTTCTCACTCCATATTCACTTCCAAATCACTTCCGAGTGAGTTCCGCGGTGGTGTTCTCTCCATGTTTTCAGTGTTAGATGATAATATTATCACACTCCAATAAAAATTTCACTTCCGAGTCTCTTCCGACCACTCGATGGCTCACTTCCGAGTCTCTTCCGAGTCATTTGGATATCTCCAGACACCACGGCGATGGAGATTATGGTTCGGGTGTGTGGGTGGTCGGTGTGCATGGAGCGGGTTAACCCCCGTCGCCACCAGCTCCACCAGCGACGGCGGAGAACTGGGCTGGGCTTGGACACCCTGTCTGACAGGCACATTCGTCTCCCACAGACTCCGCAGGTACATGGGTATATGAGGAGCCCGAGAGATCGCTGCTGGAGCACCCCATCCATCCGCCTATCCCTCTGTCGCCGCCATGTCCTCTCGGGTGTTGGGGATAGCTCCTGCCTGCTCCCCACTTTGACTGCCCACTTGGCTGTTCTTTTGCCCCTCTGTTTGTTTGTGTGTAGCTTTGCAGTTCCCCTCCGATTTTCCGCCTTTTGCCTGCCATTTCCGCCCATTCCGCACTTCCGTTTTCCCGCGCTGCTCCGCTTCCTTTGTCTTCTTCGCACGCGCCGGTTTGTTTGTGCACGCGCCTTGCTGCGATTGGTTGCAATTCGGCTGCCGGTCATGTGTCCCCCCACCGGTGACTCATGACCTCCCTGACCGCCCCAAACCTTCGCCTATCTTGCATGCGCTCACCCCAATCTTTTCTTTGACCAATCCGCTTCTTGGATGTTGAGTCACATTGCTTCGCCTTTGCACGTTTCTCCTGCCAGGTGCTTCGCTTTTGCTTGCGCCTCTCTCGCTTTGGTTCTCTGCCTGTCTCGGTGGTCCTTCTCGGCCCTCGCTTGTGCATCGCCCCCTTCGCCCTGCTCGATCGCCCACTTTTCCCTCCCTTGGCCGCCCTTCGCTGCCAAGTCCGGACTTGTCTATAAATAGCCTGACCCCCGCGATGTGTAGTCGAACCTCAGCGTTCAAAATAGGACTAAATAAAGTGCCTTCTACTTTATTCTCTGAGTGTTCCTCACGTCTCATTTCGAGACTAGTCTTATCTTGAACGGATCTTTGCTTCCCTCGCTCCCTCTCCGAGTCCACTTCGGACTTTACCCTTGCCTTCCCTGAGCTCACTTCGAGCTCACTTTCTCTTTTGCCGTTGAGTCCCCTTTGGACTCTAACATCGGGTCACCAAGCGCATCACCCGCTCGATGAGCACCCGGGCTGCCAAGCGCCAGCGTCTCCATGAGCAGCTGGTCTCCTTGGGAATCGAAGAAACCTTTTCTGTCCTCCTGGCCGTCCTCTCGGTCCCCGAGCTGATCGAGATGCTCACTGTCTGCAGTCTCGTGAAGCTCAAGGCAACTTCCAGCGACGTGAGGACGCTGTTCTCGACCAAGACTGTGGGGATTCGTATCTGGGCCGAGTGGTTCGACAAGCAGTACGACACCAGGCTCCTCCCCGAAGACTGTGTCCAAATGGTCAAGTATTTCCCGGCTGGACCGTTCCCTTCGACGTCAAGTGGTTCAAGACCATACCGAGATCCGTGGTTTCAGCCGAGTTCGTCAGAGTCGTCACTCGTTTCCGCCAAGAGAACCCCGAATTTCAGATCTTGCAGCGACTCATCGAGGCTGAGCACATCCCCACTGCGATGTGGTTTGTCAAGCGCATGATCTGGAATGGCGAAATCCTCAGCAAATGCCTTTCCGTCTTGAACAACATATCCGAGACGCTCGACGACTTCCTCCTCGAAGAACGTGACGTCTTCCTCAAAGGACTATCGGTCGAGATCAACCAGGTGTACTTCCAATGGCTCAAGTCGTTGGACGTATCCAACGTGAAGGTCAAGTACGCTCTCTACGAATGCTATCGTTTTGGTAGAGGAACCGATGCCAACCCGACCCGGGGCTTGGATCTCCTGGTCGAATGCGCTCGAGGTGGTTATCACGACAGCGCCCTGCAGATCTACGACATCTGCCGATATGGGTGGATTCGAGATGCACCCCATGCATCGTCCGTCTGGCATCGGTTGTCGGAATCGTCGGGACACAGTCTCCCTGAAAGGGACAGGAACCTCCTGAGTGTCTACTGTATGAAGAACTCGATTGGCTTCCCTCGATGGATGAACTGCAAGGCTACATATCAGTATACAGTAGCTCAAACAATTGTCCCAATGTTTTGGTGATTTGGACTGTGATGTCTGTATCTCTTCCATTTCTGATCCGATCCTCCTCAAACTTTGCCCCAAGAACCCCTTCCCAATGGTGTTGACACCCTATGAATAGTGTCGCACAAATCCCATAAATGGCAATTTGGTGCAAGTTCGAATCCACATCATGCATTGGGACAATATTTTGACCCTGGCCATTTTGTCCCAATGCGACCATTCTTTACCATGTATCTTCTTCCGATTGGGTCCAATCGGCCTGAAACTTTGCCCAATCACTGTAAATGCTACTGGAAATCATCTGTGACCATTGGATTGGACAAAATCCGTCATTAACATCTGACCCACCAATCACCCATATTGGCATAATAATCGAAATGGAACTCCACTCAAACTGTATTTATCCTTCTGCTTTCCACTTGAAACAACCTCGAAACACTATTTAGATCTATTTTAACGTATTACATTGAAGTTTCTCGCAGTTTTTGATCAGCATATTCAATGAGATGCTCATCCCATTCCCCCCTATTCCTCTATGTTTCCAAACGTTAGACATGCAAACATTCTCAGAGTGGGTCAATTTGTTACCATTCTGAATGATCTACTCCTGATCAATGTAGAAGTGCTGATTTCGTTCCAATCGGTCGCGGAACAAGGATGGGAATCGAAGGTATTCTTGCCTTGTTCCCATACTCATAAGGAACAAGAATGTTGGGTCCTACAATCATTCACCAAATGGGAAGTCTATTCGAACAAATGTATTGATGTGAAAGGGCACTGTAAGGGCTTCACATCCATACAAAATGATTTTGTTCATGGACAATTTTTGAAGTACTCATTGAGGCACGCAAAAATTGTATGTCTAAGGATTGATTCAACCTTGGCTTCTAGCCAACTGTGATCCCCAATTACATCAAAAAACCCATGAGATAGATCTTGGAGCTCATTGAGAGGATGGATTTGTATAAGAAAGTGAAGAATCCTGACGATTAAAGTCGTTTTGACGTCATTGAAGCTCGAAACAACGTCGATAATTGAACATCGAAATCGGGTGTTGGGTGTCAAATTCGAAACTGTCCATAGAAACATCAGGGGAATCGTATCAAATCAATTGAAATAGAGATCTTAGTGGATTCAAGGTGGGAAACCGAAGGTTAAAAGCAGTTTGAGTGGAGTTCCATTTCGATTATTATGCCAATATGGGTGATTGGTGGGTCAGATGTTAATGACGGATTTTGTCCAATCCAATGGTCACAGATGATTTCCAGTAGCATTTACAGTGATTGGGCAAAGTTTCAGGCCGATTGGACCCAATCGGAAGAAGATACATGGTAAAGAATGGTCGCATTGGGACAAAATGGCCAGGGTCAAAATATTGTCCCAATGCATGATGTGAATTCGAACTTGCACCAAATTGCCATTTATGGGATTTGTGCGACACTATTCATAGGGTGTCAACACCATTGGGAAGGGGTTCTTGGGGCAAAGTTTGAGGAGGATCGGATCAGAAATGGAAGAGATACAGACATCACAGTCCAAATCACCAAAACATTGGGACATTTTTTGAGCTACTGTAACCTACTCAATGCGTACAGGGATGGCAGCAAGATAGCACGCCAGGAAATCCTGCGCATTTCCCCCAGTGCACCACATCACTGGGATCGTCCAGACCACTGGGTTGATATGATCGCTCTGAACCACATCATCGCAGCCAGAAACGACCCCCAAGTTCAAGTCGTGTTTATCAAGCTACTCAAGCGCTCCATCATGGTCAAGAGCAATGGTGCTGCTATTTGGTCTCGCTATGAGAGGCTCATTCGCGAGGGATGCATGCAGTGAATGCAGTGCACACACCTTCTTCCAATCCTGTTCCGGCCCACTCACGGGCGACGACGTTTCACTTCCGAGTCTCTTCCGACCCACTCACAGGCGACGACGTTTCACTTCCGAGTCTCTTACGAGTTTTCAGCCCTACACCATGTTTATCGAGTGAGCCTCACTTCCGAGTCTCTTCC